TCGCATGTCCGACTTCAACTGCCGTAGCCGATACATCCGTAGATTCAGGGTCCACTTCATTGCAGTCGTCGTTTATAGGGGCTCGCACACTATTCGCCGACTCCAGGCCATGGTCCTTCAGCAGCACGTCTATCATCACCTCTTGATCCAGCATGTACCCGCACTTGTCATCCAGTATAACCCTTAAAACCAGGAATTTGTTGACGACTCCGAGGTCCTTGATCTCGAGGGACACCATGCTCTTAAAAAACTGTTCCACGGCTTCGCTTGAAGTTCCTGTGACCAAAAGGTCGTCGACGTAAACCCCAACAATCGTGATGGCCTCGTCGATCTTCTTGACGTATAGGCACATGTCCGTTGTGCATTGGCTGAAGCCGAGCTCAACCAACTTCGAGTGCAACAATTGACTCCACAGTCGTCCAGCTTGCTTTAAACCGTATATAGATTTCTAAAAAAGCAAGGCAAGGTGTTTCGGGTGCTTGACTCCGTGTTCATCCAAAATTTATTTGCTCACTTGCATCCCGCTAGGCACCTTCATGTAAATGTCGAGGTCCTTTTCTTTTTCTGCCTTGACATAGGCGTTGGGAACGTCACCGTGACGCGCTGGTACGTTCCATCGACGTGACAGTACCAACATGACATTGACGGTGCCAAGTTTCATGACAGCAGCGAAAGTCAGTGTGTAGTCGATTCCAAATAGTTGCTCGTTTCCACAAACCACCAGCCTAGCCTTGTACCGCTCCACTTTTCCATCGGCGTCGGTTTTCGTCTTGAACACCCACTTGTTGTGCAGGACGTGCGACTTTTCGGGTGGTATTACCACAGTCCACACTCCATTTGACTCCAATGCAGTCATTTCTTCGGTCATCGCCACGTGCCACTTGTCCTTTGACGGACTCCGCACAGTCTCACCATTGTTTCTTGGGTCTGGCTCGCTCACGATGTTGACAGTGTTTTGAGATTTTTTGCCCTTGCTTTCATCGTCATCATTCGGTCCACCCAGGTTTTTGCTGACGGACCTTGTCACATGTCGGTCACGTGTACATCTGGTGAACAAGTCTTTGCTGGAAGTTCGTTGTGATCATCTTGAGACTCCTCCTGACCTTCAGCATTATCGGGACCTTCTATTGGGCTCCCGTCTTGTATGGTGTTCAGAGTCTCAATGTTTTGTACATGTTGCGTGACCACGACGACTTGATCCTTTGGCAAGTAGACGCGATATCCCTTCGTCTCATCGTTCTTTCCGATGATGATTGCCGCCTTTCCACGTACACCCAGCGATTTGTTGTCCGTGTGCAAGTGGGATGTGCACGTCGAACCAAATACCGCGATGCCACTGAGATCGGGTTTTTTCATGGTTAGCATCTCGATCGGTGAGACTCCACCGTCGTCTGCTTTAGTCGGACTTCGGTTGAGTATGTAAGTTGCGTGCTCAGCTGCATCGCCCCAAAACTTCAAAGGTAGTCCGCTCGCAAACACCATGCTTCGCACCATGTTCATAATCGTGCGATGCATATTTTCGGCTTTGCCATTGCTGGCCTGGTTATCACGCTCGCTAATCTGGCGAGCGACACCAGTGTCTTTGCAGAATACATCCATAGGTTTGTACTCGCCCCCGCCGTCCGTGCGCAAAACGTGGATCCGGGAATTGAAGCGTCGCTCGAAAAATGACAGGAAATGCTTGAAATTTATCGCTGCAACATCCTTAGTTTTCGCCAAGAATACCCGGCAGTAATTAGACCGATGATCAACAAAGATGATCAGGTATCTGTTCCCGAGCCGATCGCGAGGAGTCATGGGACCTTTGAGATCAGAACAGATGACTCCTCCTATCACGTCGATTGGCAAATTCGTCCCACTGTCCTTGCGATATTTTCGGTTCTTTGTATGCTTGCTTTGTGCGCAAGCCAAACAATTAACACGCTTAGTGTCGGTTAGTTTGATACCTGAAGCGGGGTCACGGGCCATCTTGATGATAGTGTCGTAACAGAGGTGACCCAAACGCCGATGGAACTATAGCAAACTTCCATGTTAAACGTTTATCTTATGTCCATGTTCATCACCATTCACGATCGCCATGACCGCCTCCAGTGGTGAGTCAGAAACACAGATATTGTTTGGCGAAATGTCATTAAAACTTTCACAATCAACACATCGTTGATGCGATCGACATCCATGATGGGTGCTCCACCAGGATGAGAGACCAAAACACGCCTCCCTTCACGAAATTCAAGCACGCATCCCTTCTTTTCCAACTTGCCGAAGGAAATAATGTTACGCCCCAAATTGGAAGCGAATTGGACATCGAGAAGTCGGATGATCTTAGTCAACCCAAGTGCTTTGACCCGAATCATTGCACTACCTCGTTTTGTGATCCGAAGAGGTCCTCCATCAGACGCCGCGGTGAAACATTCGTGATTGCAATCAACCACATCTTCCAGTAGGCTCGAGACATTAACCAAATGACGGCCTGACCCACTGTCCAGCACCCAGTTAGCCGCAGCTTGAGTCTGGTCGTCGTCCGCATCTTGGACTGTGAGGACAAAATCCGCATCTTGTTTTTCCTTCGGTCTCTTAGTGCAGGATGCCTTGAGGTGTCCTGCGTTTCCACAAAGGTAGCACCTTCTTTGACCTTGGTCTTCGCGCCGTTTTTTGACCGGCCCAACCTTCGTGACACTCTTGGTAGACTCAACAACATTCACCACATCACAACCGAACTGCTTGACACGGATGTCTATCTCCGTCAATCGTGCGAACTGTGCCAGCTTTTCAGCTTGTCGCAAGTAGTTCACCCTGTGCAAATCCAAACGAGATAGCATCGTCGTGCGCATCGTCGGGTCTGCGTAGTGAACAATGTTGTCCAAAACTAGATTGTCCGCGCCTCCTCAGGCGTCACTCACAGCAGTGAGATACAAGAAGTGTTCCGTTTAATTTCGATGCGACGACTTGGCTGTTGTAAACAACTTCATACTCTGGGCAGGTGAAATCTTGGTGTTAAAGGTCTGGAGCAACCTTTGCATTGCATGCTCCAAGGTTGGACTCTCAGACCACCAAATCTCCACCTGCCGGTGGTAATATTTCTGCGCCGTCCCGGCTAGGTGTTGCCCGAGCACATCAACCTTGATGTCTTCAGGCCAGACGAAACCACACGCGCGCTCGGAGAAACCAACTTGGCGTACGAACTCCTTGCCTCACTCTAGAAAACGACTACCAAGACCATGGTAGATTTCCTTACCGTCAAATGGTTGCAACGCCAGCTTGCGCTGACGACCGTCAGGCACACCCATGAGTACCTGACCTTAGTAAAAAAACGTCGGACCAGGTGCACCCGCACCTAAGTACGGTGCCGGCGGTGCGCCCTGCACCCCGGGTGCTGGTTCCGCATTCATCACATAGTCACCACGGTCCTGAACCGGTGGATAGACTATGTTTCCAGCAAAAACTGGTCGTCGAGCTCCAAAGTGGCCGGCGAGACATTTGGTGATCGTTTGGGAGGAGGAGTACGCTCCAAAGCCTGGAGGTTAATACCCTGCCCTTCTCCCAAGGCCGAACCAACGATGCTTGACTCTGAAGAGTCCTTCCGCTGTCGGTCGACTTGTTCGGACTGTGAGGATTTCATCCTGCACATTCGCTCCGACAGATCACCGAGCATGACGAGCATCTTGTCGAGTGCCGCGGCCGCGGGCACTGCCGACTTTTCTTCCAGCTGGTGATCAATGGTCTTCTTTTGGCCATCGACCACCACAGGAGGTGTGGCTCCGCGAGCCGCGCCGCCAACACGTTCCGTTGGGCTCATAACCTGTAAGAATGTAGTGATGCACTTGTTGCACAGGGGTAGAAGCAAAAGTGAAATGCATTGTGTGTTAAAAACCATGTTCTTCAACACTACGATATGTATGACCAGAAACAGAAACTACAACTTGACCATGTCAAGTTGCATATGACGTCCGTCTCTCTTCGTCCCATGTGTTGTCCTGTCACATGACGACCGTCTCTCCAGTCCCATCTGTCATTATGACACATTATAAACCAATCAGGTGAGGTCGGGCTTACCTGTACCAGGTCTTGTACTTGACCTGCAGCACCTTCTTGACTTGTCAGAAAGAGTATATTCTAACACCGACTTCGTCTGCGCTTTCGTGCATGAATTATTCAATGGTCACCTGCCTTATGTTTAAATGTATAGGTTTGCTCACTGTTCGCCATATAAGCGCAAGTAACACGTCACGTAAATGAATGACGAGTTTAAGTGCCTACATTAATCGGAAAAGTCTTAAAAGACAATAGTTCAGTAGTGAGCTGTGGATTACAATTACCTTTGTTTATATATATGCTTTGCTGAATATTTATCGGTCTGTTTACGTGGGAGTCAGACATCAACAATTCGGTATAGCATGGTGATCTCATTCTCCAATCGCCCTTCAAATGTCGGTCTTGCATCCAATAGTATGCGAAGCTGCGACAAAAACTTACTTCATCCGTCAAGACGGTCACCATGTATATTAAATGTCTCAGATCGGTCGAAGACCATTGAGTCAGTGCAGACGAAACAACGATATGTCGTTCGGCCGCCTAACATCGATTGGAGATGGTCACGATGTAAAACATTCGAATGCTGAGCCTGTAAGACCCGAGTTTATGATTAAAAGTAAGAATAAAATTTGCAAGTAAGATCATTACAACTATTCCAGATTTGTATATTTTGAACATTTTTATAACATATTTATAAATTTAAGGTGTTTGTAATTTAAAGCCTTTGCTTTTCGTGCGCATGTTTAGATTCGACAGATTCATCAGAAATGGGGCCAACGCCTGGATCCATATGGCGAATATGGTGTCGAGATGAGATTTATGAAACTATGCTGGATTATGACCTCACACGAGACCAAAGACTTCATTTAGGTAGTGTTACTGATTAAATACGAGTTTTAGTACTTTTTGACGTTACTACGCTTCCTCACCACGCATTTTGTACAGCTCTATTGCCACAACAACCAAATATGCGGTCGCAATTACTTCGTCGTGCGCTCCGCCTGTCAACGACGTCCTTCCCTCATGCACTGAGATGCTCGTCGCAGGCAAATCAAGTGGGACGTGCCGTCGCTTCTCGACCTACGCTTGGAATCAGCAGCTACTTGACACGCAGCTTCTCCCAGTCTTCCACGAGCACAGGCGAAGACCAGACATTGACGACGGAATACATAGGCGTCGTCTACAACGCCGACAACGTGAAGAAATACAGTGCCGAGCTGATTATAGACGAGAACGTGATCAGTGGTGGCGACTTTTGGACGGCGTTGGATGCTGCGAAAGCATACGATGAGCTCGTTACGCTCTATTGCGACTTGGATACGCCTCGTAATTTTCCTGAAGCTGACGCCGTGGAGTTTGCTCCGAAAAATGCTGAAGACATGGAGTGGCTTGCCCCAGAGGCAGGAAATCGCCATGCTGACCTGATTCCACCCATTCGGCAGACTTATTTGACGATTGACGAAGTCAAGGACGCTTTGGAACGAGAGAAGGCCATCGACGTGTACGTTGTGGACTTGGCTGGCAAGACCAGCTTGGCCAACTACATGGTGTTTGCCACAGGCAAGTCGCAGTCGCATATGCGACGCATGGCCGACATGTTGATCAAGTCGATGAAAGTAAGAGATATTGTGGACGAGTTTGACTATGGAGTAGAAGGGCGCGAGTGCGATGACTGGATGATTGCTGACTGCAATAATATCGTGGTGCATTTGATGCGTGCTGACACTCGTCGAATCATGGCGCTGGAAGACCATTGGGAGAACATGGTTGACAACAAGCACAGGGTCTATGGCGACATGAATGAGGACGAGTACATGGACAAGTTTGGCACGAGCGAACTCATGGAGTATTTGGAAGACGAGGACCACCCGCGTGCCGAAGAGGACGGAGAAGGATCGGGTGTCGAGTGGGAGTAAACGTCAGCCAGGAACATTATGCGACATATAGGCAATGCAACCAGCACATAGTACGCCAATCTTTGGTACGCATTGGATGGTGTTGTGACGTCAGGCGTGGATGGAGGCCTGTTTGATTCGTCACCGTAGAACCGTTCTATCAATATAGTCCAATACTAGCTTCACTAAGCTGAATGAGTGACAATGAAAATGCCATTCAGCTGCCGTGTAAAGCGACACTGAGTCGCGCAAGGTTACTGCTGTGACAAGCGCAACACTGCACAGATCTTCAGAATGTGGCACGTCCACGTAGTCGCTTGATGTTTCATTACGAGTGGATGCCGTTTTCTCTAATAAGATGCCAAGAAAAGAATGGACCAAAAGGGCTCTAACATCCCATGTAAATCGTGTTATGGGTCAACGCCAAGTCACGTACCTGCGAAAAAATTATCATTCTTCGAGATAGACACTAGCCATGCCTATAACAGTGCAGCAGCAAGCGCTGTTTACATGATGTTACCATTGTGGTCGCCACACTTAGGACTAGACGCTCGTATCAATTCGATCAGTTTTGCTCGATTTAACCCCACTCGGTACATGCCTAACTTTCACAATATTCTAACCCATCAAGTCACGAACAAGATCATACATTATCATTGGCCTTTGGCTTGGTATCGTGGGTCGATTTTTTACATGCTGCTTATTTTCGATCACAAGGGCAGTTCATCGAATACGAACAGCCTGCATGTACGTACACAAACGTTCGTCAAGACAACACGGTGCAACTTGCCAGCACATAGCGCAGAGCTTCGTAGCGTTGAAACATTGCACCACGTGGCTCATCATATCTTGTCGCTGCGCGCCGAAGCTTCTCATGACTCCGTCAGCGCAAAACATACGCATCTCATTTGCTAAGCTTACGTCTCTATAAAAAGCGCACTACAAGCAGACAAGAGGGCATCAGCACACAAAAGACACTTTGTCTTGCTCTACAAAAAAATGCTTTCTGATCAATGGAATACTTGACCGTGTCCATCGACTCCTGCAGCAAGAAGCCCGTATTGACATTGCTTCACGTCTCCTCTGGCATACGAAGCTTGTCTAACGTAAACTAGGGCAAATGGAGAATGCAATCGTTGACATCGCACTTGTATTGCCCGATCCTGTTGCCGGTGTTACGTTCCACCCACCACTCCCGGTCGTGACCTCGATATCTTGTGAAAATGTCATTGTGTCCGACGTGATTGCTTCAATGTCCCAAATAAGTCTAGTTTCACTTACAAGGCGCAGGGAAACTGTCATTGTGCTCGATTAGGAGCGTCATGAGCATCACAGCCACCGCAGAAAACCCAACAATCGCACGGGCTCGTCAAAGCTCAACTTGGTCACGTCGATTCGATCGTGAGCAGCTTCGCGTTGGGTCCTCAATGCATTGTATATCGTCTTTATCCCACTAACTTCTTTCGTCGCACTCCATACTTTGGGACGCTGTGCATGCATAAAAGTCTGCAATAACATGACACCTGGGACCCTAGCACTACACTAAAAATGTGTCATGCAACACAGCCTCACTTTTTCTTCATGTCTTCTACCACTGCTTCCAGCAATTTTGAACTTTCTAGTTGGTAAACACTCATCTCATCAAACCTCACGTAATCATACCGTGGGCGTGTGCTTACGTATACATTTGATCCCGCACTTCTCGCTTGTGACGCGATCGTCCCCAAGTGAGCTATCAAGCCGTTAAGTGTTGACACCTAAGCTCAAATCTCCCTCAAAAAGCAGCTCTTTTTATCTATTGCACACGCTTTGTCGTCCTGCTACCGTTGTAGGGCGTGATATCTACGACACACTTGAGGAGATTGCAACGATAAGTTGTGCACGAGCACAACGTAGTAATATATCGATTCTACGTCACAAGAGAACCGCCAATGTACTCAAACGAGAATATGTTACACCATTAGCTCTATAATCAGTTTGGCCAAAGTGTCAGTGTAATTAGATAATTTATGAAGGGAATCGCTATTTAGCCATCACCTGCTTGCTAATTGCCCTCAGTCATAAATGTTTCGAAATCTGATTGGCCAAATCGAGTTGGACTCTTTCTTGCAGTAGAATTGGGACATTGATAATAAGAAGACCTTCTTCTTCATCAATAAATACAATGAACAGCCTTGCACCACCTCCGCAGCTTGCTTATGCATCCCTGGAACAAGCAGGAGTCGCCATTAATGCCCATGCACAGCGGGAAGGTTATGCTGTTGCAATCAGACGCACAAGAAGGATCGGCAATAGGAAAGACGGTAACGTCAAAGCTATTGATCTTGACTGCTGCCGATCACACCTCCCGTTCATACGTACAGGACCTCGCCAGCGTACCTCGTCCAGCAGTAGAACTGGATGCTTGTTCTAGGCAATTGTACGGCGACTAGAAACTGGAGATTGGCCTATACAAGTTACCAATGGAAAACACAATCATGAGCTCTTCACCCACAAGGCTGCCTATCCGCAAGGGCGCTCTTTGACAGATGCAGATTGGCATCCAGTATTGTCCGTAACGCGCGCTGGTGTGAAACCTAGCCATGTTATTGCTTTACTGCGGCAGACCAGCGATGTCACGGTCGCGGCTCGAGTCATTTACAACCTACGCGATTCATAACGTAACACAATGCTGGATAGATGCTCTCCATTTTATGCTCTCGTGAATTCTTTACCATCTTGCAGATACTTCACTCAGGTTGATGCACAGCAGCGTCTTACTCACCTGCTAATTATCTTACCATAAGCAAAGGAAATTTGCAGCAAGTGCAGTGCTGGCTCGGTATGGCTCATTGATGCGACATATTGGACCAACAGGTATGAACTCCCTCTCCTCCATATCGTTGGCATATCGGCAACAAGATGTACATTTAACTTTGCATACAACTTTATGCAACATGAATATGTGGTGGACTGCTTGTGGGCATCAATTGCACCATTTATGAAAAGTTTCCCAGAATTATCATATAAAAGCTGAGCTTACTTATGTCACGGATAAAAAGCTTGCGCTGATGAAAGCGCTCACGAAGAAGTTTCCAAATGTATCTTGCTTGCTCTGCCCGTGGCATATCATCAAGAACAATTTTGACAAGCAGAGGAAAGCTTTTTAACACTGGAAGCCTGGTGTAGGGCGCTATGCTCCAGCACGATGGATAAGGTCTGTGTGCTTAAATGATGCCATCATCATTTAAATAAGGCAAAGAATCCATTGCATACAGTATATCAGGAGGCTTAGATTAGCATTTAGTTGTGAACTTAGGACCTAATGAACTTCACTCTTTGTTTTGCGAGCTCGGACACTACAGCTGGAAGATTTCGTCCAAGCATGTAACGGGCTTGTTGCTGCCACATCCATTGTGGATTATGAGTCAAAACTTGCATCGATGCATGTTGCATTCCATTTCGTCTCGATGCAACACCTTGACTACTTTTGGCTTGTGTACAAGAAAAGGTTTGTTTGTTTCCATTTTCTTACGAAATAAACGCCATTATAGCCATGTTACAATGTCGCGTGTGGACAGTGATCATTCCGCTCTCAAAAATTGGGTATCTGTTTCAACCGGTAAGGAGGTAAAGTATTGAGCCCTGGCTTTGTAATTATTATTTTGCCGCTGGCGATGTAATTACTGCAGTTGATCTATCATCAGTGGACTCAGCGGTTCGCCATACATGCGAAGGTCAGCTTGCTTTAAATATGCAGCAAAATGCAAAACAGCATGCCAATATTGATATGCGCTTTGGACTAACGTTTTTTGAAGCGATTGGTGATATCACTGTTGCAGGTCTGGAGGCAACGTATACGCAGTATCGACAGCGGTCTGGCAAAAATGGGATTTGTCGAGGTTCGTATACTGTAATTAACGTTCCATTGACAGTGACTGACTGAAAATGCTGATTTAGGAATGCTGAAATGCTCGATGGGCTATCTATGAGCTCATCAATTTCGTAGCCGTATGATCCTATTGTTGGTCAGTAATTTCAAAAGGTATTGTTGGCTGGTACAGACAACACAGATGCAATTTAAGGATGTGCAAGCTGAAATTGATATGAGATTAAAAAGGATTGCATACATATTCGACAATGACATTGCACATCGCAAGCGTGTGCTGCTTATCCATGTCTTGGCAGTCTCTGATGTTGGTATTCGCAATCACACAAAACCTCAGACTCGTGGTCGACCAACGGGGTCAGCACAGCGACTTATATCCAAGTATGAGCATGTTGCAGATGCGTTGGAAGCTCCTGTGTGAGGCCGGCAACGACAGCCTTGCCAGAAACGGGTCACAGTGCCCGAATATGTCATCGTCAAGCACAAGGAATACCCACTCCAACACCAGCAGCACCACCATCTGCACTTACAGCACGAGCGGCAATAACAGTATGCTCAGAAGCTCTGGATTATAACAATTATAGACGTAAATAGCAACATGGTTTACGTCTTAAGATTATCACATTGTCCGTTATTACAATACGTGGCTACCTACCGCCCTGATATTAATGGAATTGCATTTGTGTTGTTTGCGTACAACACGACTTAGTACAAATAATAAAATAAAAGCAGTGGCATTCGAGCTAATTTGTAGCTACACATCCGCCTTATTCTTTGATTTTTGACTAATCACCTTGTTCGTAGTTCATAAAAACCAAAGTACATGTACCACAATCGTTATGTTTAGCAAAATACACGCATCGATACTTGCAACGTGCACTGAGTCTTCCGTCTCCTATATTCCGGTGAACAAGGGCGCAATCGACCCATACAAGTCAGGGCCAACATAATTGGCGCGAACTTTTTTGTGTGGTCCTGTTTAAACTTGTCCATAATCAGCAATAGCAACCGGTACGCACTGTTAGTGGATTCTCGTCAATTTTCTGTTGCAGCAGTAAACTCCAACTCTTCACATGAGATTTTTGTGCAAAATGCGATATAAGATACATAAGGGAATCCCCGCGGATGCCAGCAGCCACTGCAACTCTTTTGT